CTGGGGTTCCACCTGTAGCCCACACACCCCCTTTCTGTCCCCTTCCCCCACGTCTCTCCTGCGCTGAGGACCCTGCACTTACCTACTCCTCACCCTCCCTCCCAGCCCTTCCGGAATGCCATGAATCAGCTGATTTGCGGGGTTCAGGCTCTGAGAGGCAGGAGAGGAGTGAAGATGGGATACGAATTGGCCAACTCCAATTGGAAGTGCTGGGAGAGTGGGAGGGGCAAGAGCAGAGATGGGAGGAGCTTGGGAGAGGAGGCAGGAAAGAGGCCGGGCGGGGAGTTGGTGTTGCAAAGTAAGTGTAAATGTTTCTCCTTTTTTAATTATTTGAAATTGATGACAGTTCTATTAATAGATGCATGATTAGAGCCTTTCTACTTGTCTTGAAATATTCAGCCTTTAATGTATGTAATCGTATTCTTGGGGTCATGGTTAGTGGACGTGACTGATTTCAATCTTGCAACCCACTGAGTCAAAGGAGAGCCGCCGATGCGGCCCAATCACTAGCCTTGGTTGCCCATCACTGCTCTACAATCTGTTCCTGTCTTTGCCACTGGCTCAACACATGACCACAAGAAGGGATTTAGCCACTATCTTCCTCCTTTTATCTGCCAGTGTCATGGGGAGAATATCACTGTGGACCCCGCTGGGGTGCTGGGAACCTTCATTCATGGCTGTACAGTTCTTAAAGGCCCTTTGAATGAAAGCAGCAATAGTAGTAAAGTGGCATTATTAACTCAGAAACATCACTCCAAATCCCCCCATCCTGGCAGGGGCAGATGGCACTTGCCATCTCTGCTCCTGCTTTGGCAAAGACAGCAGCTCCGGTGCATAGTACACATCTGCAACTCCTTTGGGAATCCACATACAGACCATCCCACAAAGGAGAACATTTCCTCTGGGATCAAAGATCTTCCAGTTTCAAGAGTCTCAGATGGCTTTGGCGCTGCTGGTTTCCATTTGAAGGCATTTCTGCCATGATCCAATGCTGGGGGACTGTCAAAATTTCAGAGAACCTTGAAAAAAATTCACAGCAATGCAACCACATCATTGATGCTTTCAGCCCTCCCAGACTTGGGGCCTGCTGTTCAGACTTAGGCCAGGCCTACACTACAGGGCTACGTCTACACTGGCACCCTTTTCTGGAAATGCTTAGTTTTCCGTTATAAGTATTTCCGGAAAAAGCGCGTCTACACTGACAGGATGCTTTTCCGGAAAAAAACTTTTTCCAGAAAAGCGTCCGTGGCCAATGTAGACGCGCTTTTCCGGAAAAAAGCCCCGATCGTCATTTTGGCGATCGGGGCTTTTTTGCGGAAAAGACTACTGTGCTGTCTACACTGGCCCTTTTCCGGAACAGTTTTTCCGGAAAAGGACTTTTGCCCGAACGGGAGCAGCATAGTTTTTCCAGAAAAACACTGACAATTTTACAGTAGATCGTCAGTGCTTTTCCGGAAAAGCAAGCGGCCAGTGTAGACACAGCCCGGGAGAAAGTTGACCTAAGACACGCCACCTATGATATGATGTACCTTAAGTTGAATTTCTGCGGTGTCCCCACTTCTGGAGGTCAACGGGAGAAACTCTCCCTTTGACTTCCCTTATGCCTCATGAGCCAGTGGAATGCAGGAGTCGACTAAGGTGCCATCAATGGTCGACTTAGCGAGTCCTTACTAGACCCGCTAAATCAAACCCTGGATGATCGATTCCTACCACGTTGCTCCCCTGGTAAGTGGAGACAAGCCCTAAAATTTCCCCTTGATTCTCAGCATCTTCCAGCTTCCTTAGAAAATAGCTTATTTTCTTTCCCCTGAGTGAGCTGAGGAGCTGGATCACAGCTCAGGCCCTTTTCTTTCAGGCTGTAGCTTCACTATGGAGACGTTCCAGGTGATGGCCAGCACTATCAATTAAGGACTGCAGCTTATTTTCACTGGCAGCCAGGGAATCAGACATTTAAATCTAGACCTTGCTCTGGCAGCTCACAGCTGGTTGGACTTATCTTGCACTTTTCCCACCGGGGCAGAGATTGATAAGAAAATGTTGGCAGCTCTGAGTTCCTTGCTGAATAGAACAGCTTTCTGAACTATGCAGGAGACTTTTTAAGGCATGTGGATGGCGGTCATGCAGGGGGAGAGCTCAGCTATGTTCTTGTTTTTATTTTGGGGCATATTAGAAGGGCTGGGGAAAGCTTGCACATGAGCATGCGTAAGTACACGCTGTGTTTGAGAAGAGACAGCCCCATGCTTCAGGACATGTCAAACTCTACCTGAGGGGGTCAGGACGACCCTATCCCAATTGGACAGGTTATTCAAAAACAGTCCATTGCAGGATCTGTTGGTCTAGATCAGGCGTCTCAAACTCCCAGCCCGCAGGCCATCCCCAGCCGCAAAGGTTGTGCAATCTGGTCCAGGAGTCCTGTCAGGCTGGGTGAGAACCTGTCCGTTCCCGTTGCCCAAGCCCCACCCTTTTTTGCCATCGCCCCGCCCTGTCCCGCATGGCACCTAGTCCCCTGAGGGAAGCCGCCTCAGGGATTTCCAGGGGGAGGGGGCCTGGCACAAGGCAGTGGCAGTCGAGACCCCTTCCATTCCCCATAGTGGTGGGAGCTGTGGGGAAGTGGAATTCATTTGGCAGGCGCACTCGCTCAGAAGATGGGGTGCCATGGGGGAGGGAGAGAGTGGAGTGATAGTGGGAAGGTGAGGGGCTTGAGGGATGCGATTGGACAGTCCTCCTGCAGCCTGCTGGGACTCCCTGGCCAGATTGGGCATGAGTTTGAGGGACTGGACTCGGTGACCTCTCAAGGTTCCTTCCAGTTCTAGCATTTTGTGATTCTCCTAAAGCAGCTAGAGCTAACCGCTGTGCGGGGAGACAGACGAGTGGGCCAGACGGACTCCCAGTCAGACACAGGGCGGCAGTTCTTAGCTCTGTGAGTGTGAGTGGGTTGGGAAGAGATGGCCCGAGATGTTCTGGGTCAGGAAGACAGTGGAGCTCCTCTGTGAGCTGGTGGTTCCTCTTTTGATGGCGACTGTGCAGAGACTCAGAGGGGAAACTTCACAGAGTGCTAAGTGGTGTGCTATTGATTTTGCGAGAAGATACTTTGACACTCTTGTTATTTTAAAAAGAAATGTTATCTGTGTCAGGACTAAATAGGTTTTATTAGAAAAACTATCCCTCCCCCCCTTCTATGGCGAGCTGCTACATTTGTCTGTTTCAGTAAATCAAGTCCCAGCAGATCACTTTTTTATTGGAAGAAGCACCTGTTTTACTGTGACCTATTGGTTAACCAAATGCTCTAAAACTTGTGTCTTTCTTCTGAATAAGATAAAAAAATCTGCTGTGCTAGTTTGTCCTAGGCAAGGTACCTGTAAACCTGAAATCCCTCTTAAAATATTCTTTGCCTTTGTAGCAGGGCAGCTGCCCTGTACTGGCCCTTTAAGAGCCAAACCCCAGCCTGGAGCAGGCCAGGGGAGTTCAGCCCAGCTGGGCGGCGTTGGCCCATTAAGGCCCAGCTGGGAGCTATAAAAGGGAAGGGCTGCTTCAGCAAAGGCAGTGTGAGCCTGGCTGCCGAGTAAGCAGGATGCTCTCTGGAGCTAGGGCAGGGCTAGAGAGTCAGGCTGGGCCAGGGCGCTTGGACAGCCACCTGGCCAGCCTGCTCGGCCTATGGCAAGGCCTGCTGGAGAGACACCAAACCCCCGGAAGGGGGGCTCAGAGCGAGTGACTTGGGCACTGCCGGAGGGCAGTGTGGCGAAGAGAGCAACGCGACCGGAAGATTCCAGAGGGGAAACGCCACGTGAGCGGAGGCCTGTGTGGACGGAATGGACTGATTCCGGGGGACAGACGATGGACCCCCGCTACGGTGGTGAGTGACCCCCTCACAGCCTTCTTTGAGTCGTATCATACTCTCCAGCTAAACGTACATATAGAGCCCTCCTCATTGTAGTATTTGAGTACCTCAAAGGCAAGCAAGCCTTATTATGGAGAAATAAGACCAAGAGATTAGATGACCTTCCCAAGGTTACACTGGGAGTCAGTAGCAGAGCTGAGCATGCATTCACATCTCCTCAGTCCCAGTCCAGTGTCTTAACCAAAATATCATCCTGCCCAAGTTGGCTAGTTGGTCAAAACTCCCACTGAAGCCATCTAGAATTTGGGTGTGCAAGAAATGCAGAACCAGACCTGGAGAATTCCGTAGCTAGAGAAGGCGTTTGGTTAGGTGTCAGGAGCTGCAATGGGTTCTGTGCCTGTGCCTCTGATTCCCCTCCAGCCCTTTGGCTGGAAGCTGCTCGGGGCAGGCACTGTTTCTGATTACATGTCAGTCTAGTATAGTGCTGTTCCAGTCTCAGTTTGGGTGACTATAATGCAAACACATGAAAACAAAAATCTGCCCCTGACTTAATAACCTGCTTATTAAAAAAAAAAAAAAAAGTCTTCCCATAACAGTGTTTCTTCTTTGCTGTATAATTATTTTTGGCTTTCATTTTTTTTTCTCTCACCTTTATGATCTACTGAGTCACACGTATAATTATTTTTGGCTTTCACTTTTTTTCTCTCTCTCACCTTTATGATCTACTGAGTCACATGACATGTAGGCAACTGACTGTCTCTGACTCATCCCTACTCCATTTTTGGTACCCTCAGTAGGGGCAGAGGCTCTCTTCCTTGAGACACAGAAGGCCATTTTTGCACTTTTGTCACTGACCTAAAATTTAAAAAAAACAACAACCTGTAGAGTACTTGCCTGCTGTGAATAAAGCCAAAGCTGCTGCACAAGGAAAGGAAAATATCTCTGATAAAAAGTGCATTTTCTGTTAAATCACTGTTCAAAAAATGTGCAGCTTCTAGAGTGGCACTCAAGTTTATCAGCCGATTTTAATTAGCACTTCTCTTGGGAGCAACAGTGTGTGAAAAAAGACAACTTGGCATTGCTGTAGTTTGAGAATGATGGGGAAACGGACTGCTACCGACCCTGGCCTTGGAGAAAGCAAAGTGTGCTGCTGACATTTTACAAGATTCTAATATTTTCCAAGGAGCCTAAGGGAGTTAGGCACTCAACTTCCACTGAATTTCAATAGCATGTGGGTGAGTTCATGTCTTTTATTGGACTACCTTCTGCTGGTGAAAGAGACAAATTTCGAGCTTACACAGAGCTCTTCTTCAAGTCTGGGAAATGTAACCATCAGAGATAAATACAAGATGGAACAAATTGTTAAGCAAAAGAAGTTAACAAACATTGCAAGAGCCCATCCAAGGTGATTTGGAGTTGTATGTGGTAGTCAGAGGGTTATAGATGGTAAGTCCTCTAAAGATTATGGTTTTTTTTCTTGCATTTGCTGAGGAAGTAGATGTCACTGTTAAGTGCTGCATTTTGACACTGCCACCAGTAGTGACACTGGATGGCAAAAATTCATGTTGTTTAACCAGCCAGAATTCCAGGGCTGTATATCTATGTATATTCTTCCCTGAAAACATAAAAAATACATACATATATACCCATTAAGATTAACAAATACACTGCAAAACTGAATGAGTACTATAGCTGGGTGAAATTATTCTTTCACTTTTCAGTGAAAAATGCAGATGTGACAACAGCAAACACTTAGCAGATTTGTGTCAGTTTTGCTGTGATTTGCACAGCATTCATGACTACAACCTGCTGGAAACATGTCTACTGGCTACGGTGTATAGGACAGTGACTCAAAACTATTTCAAGTCTACCACTGATTCACTGTGCAACATTAGGAGAGTGATTTAACTTCTCTTTGCTTTAGTCTACTCAGCTGTAAAATGGGTTCAATAATATTTTCCTACCTCACAACTTAGTTTAATGTTCGTGAACTGTTTTCAGAGTAAAATAAAGTTGCTTGTGTAGGTGAAAATTGGTATCATTACTCTCCTTGAAAAATAGCAATTTTCAAGGGATTATTCTAGCTGATCATCCTAAGTGTTCCAAACAATGAAGAATATAGAAATGTATCCACTCCTCATCCCCAAAAATACATATATTAAAAGCAGGTGTTGAATCCTTAAAAAGTGATTATGTATGTTGCTAGTTACCAGGTGCCCTGCCAGAACCTAATATTAAAGTACTGTGTAAATGATGCTTTAAAATGTTATAATGGAATGGGGAATGTTCCGCAGACTATTGTGTGAAACCGTATCTATTAAGGTACACACATACACCAACCTCTCTGATGCTGAAGATTTTTGAAAAAATAGACCTAGCTAATGCTGCCAGATTCAGCAATCTCCTGCTGCAGAAAAAGCCAGTTCACCAGCAGAGGGCACACAAGATAATAAAACTTCAAGGACGATGATGACATCATTGATGATGCTATTGACAAATAAAGGAAGTAAACAATGTAGAGAAGAGTTGAACTTCCTTCCCCATAGCAACTGGAAGGAATGCAGCTGGTTTGGAGAGCAGAGTGGGGCTTGCTTATATATTAAGAGTTGCTGGTAGTCAGTTATGTTTCTTTAAACAGATCAACCCCCTATCCCCCACAAAATACCTTATCGTATGTGCATCAATTGGCAGGTGGCTTTTAGGAGTCATGATATCCATGTTCTAAATGTGGGTCAGATTGTTACCTGTAATCACATCGAGTAGTCCTCACTCCGCCAATAGCCGGGTTGTCAGCTTTCATGATTTTCATTGATAGCCTCATGATATTTGGTATTCTGTTTATAGCTCCAATTCCTGGAATCATATGTTAGGTGAGAATCTTGGCTTTCATTGAAATATAAAAGTAGGCTTCTAGCCCTAATGGTTGAGGTGAGAAACTTGAAAATGGAGAACAAGGGTGACATAAAGGTTTAAAAAAAAGAGGGTTTTTTTTTAATCCTCATGGTTTTGTAACATAATGCTGTGACTTTGAGGCTTGACCCATGGTCTTTGAATACTTGGGCCTTGTTTTCACTAGGGAATAAAAGGTGCATTTTTACCTTGTATTAGCTAAAATGTGATAACTAACACAAGAAGCTAGTGAAGATAAGGGAGATAAGTATTTTCATTAGCAGGTCAAGTACCTCATCCTACCTCTCAAGGGCATTGTGAAGACAAATTCCTAAATATTAGTTAACTGCTCTGATACTGTGGTGTTAGAAAGCCCTAGGTAGAGGGGGGGGAGGGAGAGATACTTTTACCCCCTTCCCTAAACTAAAAGGAAAATGTTGCAAGACAAATCCACTCAAAATGTATGTGTGATCTTCTCTACTTATTATACAAGTTACATTCCATCACTTTTTATTAGGTGTCCTGACTATTACTTTCTTTCCTTTCTCATTGGCTTAAGTGATCATATCTGAAGCAAGTCTAAGCAGTTTCAGAGATAAGCATTTTGCAGATATTCATCTACCACTTGAGGCTTTTGTAAGATCCTGGTATGCTTGCTTTCATGTACACATACAATAATTCACACTAATATTAGCCAGTTGATATTTTACATGCCTTCTGTTTACAGGATTCTCCATCTATGCTTAAGCAATGCAAAATATTAGTAGCAATCACTTTTTTTCCCCAAGTGCTATACCACAAAAATCTCACTGTTTCTTTCTAATAAGAGTTTCATTTAAACCAAGGGAAAGCATTTCCTGTTGAGAGTCAGAAGCAAGTTTCCACCAAAACTACTGAAGCTGAAAAATGCCCACTTTTGTCATAGAACTCTTGCCGTAAATCTACTAGATTTAGCTCTACTGCTCTAACAATAATCATGGCTTTTGTTTTCTTTTGAAGTGAGGGGTTCTATACACGTTTTCACTACACATCTACAAAAAAGAGCTATATCTGTTGTAGTCATAATCCATGTTCTCTCTACTCTTTTCCACCCCATGTGTGGAATAAAGGTTATTTGCACCAAAGCATGGGTGGATGTGCATCACCAATAGAAACACATGCTGCTAACTGTGGGCAGCTATGGGCACTGTGCTAATCAACTGGGTGGCATTTTAATCTCTCCTGGATGGCCACTCTCAGTTTACAGGGAACGCTGGTCAGAATGTATAATTAAAGGGGCAGAGTTTAGAAATTCAGAGAGCTGGTAGATAAGGTCTCATGGGAAGCAAGACTAAGAGGAAAGACAACTGAAGAGAGTTGGCAGTTTTTCAAAGGAACATTATTAAGGGCCCCAAAGCAAACTATGCCACAGTTAGGAAAGATAGTATGGTAAGAGACTATCTTGGCTTAACCATGAGATCTTAAAAATCATGATCTAAAAATCAAAAAGGAGTCATATAAAAGTGAAAACTAGGTCAAATTACAAAGGTTGAATATAAGAAAACAATGTAAGTATAGAGGGGCAAGATTAGAAAGGCAAAGGCACAAAATGAACTCAATCTAGCTAGAGACATAAAGGCTGTGTCTACGTTGGCACCCCTTTCTGGAAAAGGGATGGTAATGTAGACTTCGGAATAGTAAAATCCGCGGGGGATTTAAATATCCCCGGTGGCATTTGCATTTACATGGCTGCCGCTTTTTTCCGGCTTGGGGATAAGCCGGAGAAAAGCGCCAGTTTAGACGTGATTCTCCGGAAAATAAGCCCTTTTCCAGAGGATCTCTTATTCCTACTTTCAAGAGATCCTCCGGAAA